GACACAGCCACATCCACAGTGAAAACCCAGGAGCGCTTGGAACCAAGCCAAGGGACATGGTGCCAAAATGGAAACAACAAAAACCCTGGACATTAAAGAAGCTGGCGCAAGTCACAGTGGCAGTGGAGACTCTGACCAAGCTCTTCCGGTGTTGGAGACATCAAATTAACAGCACAGGACAAATGTAACATACTGCTATTCTGTGTCAGTCAACTTGTAGAACTCCTGCCTTCCCTCGGTGTGGGCCCAAACCCCCGCAGGCCCCGAGGACAGACGGGCACTTAGACTAGGTTGGGGACAGTGCTGGGCATGGGGATTTTGCTACAGTCTCCGGCCTTCTCAGGGGCAAGCAGCTTGAAGACCGGTCTTTTCTCACTGCGCACCACCTTCCTCCGGTGGAGAACCAGCTCCTAGCAGCTAGAATTGAAACTTCCTTGCATCCTATTGCCAGAGAGGGGCTCCATTTCTCTCACCACTCCAAAGAAGGAACAGCATCTCTAGGAAGGAAAGGCTGGGTGGCTGTGATTTGGGTCATGTACTCCCCCCTGAAGAGGGCATGTCCAGGGACAAGTGACCATGGCTGATGCATCTCAGGAGAAGGACCGGCTCCTAATGGAATCCTGAGGCTAGAGCCACAAGGAAACATTGCTCAAAGAGTGAGGACACTACTCTACAGGGACAGGAAGGCTGGGGGTGCACAGAGTCCATCAGTGTCTGATACAAAGTGAGAAAAGCACTAGAGCTATAGAAAAATGAACAGAGAGAAATGCAGGAGAGGACCAGCATGCATGAGAAGAAATATTTATAAATAATTCCAGTGGCTGAGTCTGCAAAGAACCCCCATGTCTGGAATTCTACCTTCCTATCCATTTTTACTTCTGGACACTTGCTCCCCCTTCCAACAATAATATCCAATAATATCCAACCCCTTGTCATTCCCTACATCCTCTTAATGCCCCTCCTGGTGCACTTCCCGTTCTCCAGGAATCAGTGTGATGGCCTCCTTTTCTGCAAACGTGCCTCCTTCTGTGAAGGAGCCTGAAGCCCTCCCTTGCGCTCATTCTGCATGAACTTGTTATTTTCTTACCTGCCCATTCATCCTGTTATGTGGTGAGTACCTGGCTTTACTTGCCTCCCACCCCTACCCCATCCCCAGCTAAGAGCCAGATCCATGTGAATTATTCTTATCTGTATGGAATGAGTGGTTGAATATCTATCTCATGAAACATCCCTGACCACAGCGCATGGTGTCCACACCACTTTGTCTCTTCCACGATGAGTGACGGGGCTCAGAGATGTCTCCTTTCTCAGGAGGCAAGACAGTTGCCGTATCAGTGAATGCCTCTGACTCTCTCACCACTTCTGGGCTGTTTTTATTTTTAATTTCCCACTACTATTCTGATTCATGTTAAAAGATTCATCAGTTACTCCTCAAGAACAAAATGGAAATAAGTATGAAAAATAATATCCTACTCAATGCTTATGCCCTACTCCATGCAAGCGCAAGTTTTCGTTTTCTCCCAATCTACGATGAAAGTATATCAGTAACTCCATTTGCCAGTAGTGACCATAACAGTTCCCGTGAATAACGCCTTCTGACTTTCAGATTATTTTAACAACATTATTTCTCTGGTTCCAGCATATTTCATTTTGGTCTTATTAATGAAAAAATTACATACTTGTGATATTATTCAGATTTTAAAAGCTAACCACTTTCCTCTTGTATTAATACAATCTGGAATCCAAACTCACAAATGAGAACAACTTTTTTTAACAGAATACAATTCCTGGGACATTTTAGTAAGTGATGCTAAATATGTGCGTTTGCTCTTTTCTTGTGTTAAATATGAAGAGATAATTTTTGCTTAAAAATGCCAAGTGAATTAATAGGGTTGTTAATGATTAATCTCTCTTTCCAAGTGATATTCAACATTCGGCAGGCCTCCATACAGTTACTCTGACACAACAGGGCTCAGCCAAGTTCATTTTCCAACCAACTGGTCTGGGACTGCTCAGCCATTAGCATGCAAATTACTGCAAACACGGTAAAGGTGACAAAGGTTTCCCTTCCTGTAGGTCACCTGCTGGGGCAAATCAAGCACATTTCTACTTCAGAAAACTTATTTTGAGGACACTCAATCTGTCGAAGGGTTATGCATTGGGCTTTTAGATATCTGACTTCTTAAACACAGGATAATAGAATTTTTAAGGTTAATCTTAGTAGCTATCCAATACATAATTTTTAAAAATTATTTTAAAATGCTGAGGATCAAATTCACATGCTCACACATGCTGAGGATCAAACCCACATGCTCACACATGTGATAGCCCACATTCTACCACTGAGCCACACCCCTGGCCCACCTAGAACACACCTTAGAGGTGAATAAATAGTGCCCTTCTCCTCAGCACTGTGCCAGGGCAGTGGCTGCTGCCCCGCTCAGCCTTAGGGCAGCTTCTCCCCTCTTACACCAGGTCATTTCTGCTCCTCATCAGTGCACAGGGGGCCAGAATGCAGAAGTACCTCCAGGCGCTGCCTCAGACCTGCTGTCTGCACTGGACACTGTCCACTTCCCTGCACTGCTAATTCACCTCCTAGCTCCCGGCATGGACTGCAGCTACATACATCTCTCTCACTACCCAAGAGTCCTCACCCTTCAAGGCTGGAACCCTAACTCCTTCCAGCCTGCAGGATTGAGGGGGGAGGGGCCGTCCCTCCCATGGCTAATCTAGAGCCTCCTGGAGGGGGTAGCTACAGAAGAAAAATCGAAGCTCAAGCTCAGTTTCTCCACTATGCTCACAATGCAGATCACCTCCAAACCCCAATGTGCAGGGCTCCCCGCACCTTGTGCCAGCAATCAGTTCTGCTGGACATCCCCTAAGGGAACTCCATTCTGATGCTGTATGGAGACAGTGTCAGAGCCCACTCAATAAAGCCTCGGTCCCACAAGACTGTCCTTGCTTCACATGGCAAGTCACCTGAGGCTTCTGACCCACTGACTATAAATTGGAGTTCCTGCAACACCTGATTTGCTAGAGCAGCTCATGGGACTCAGGGAAACACTTGCTTATGTTTAGCATCTTATTACATAGATATTACACAGATACAGCTGAAGAGATGAATGGGGCATTGGGCCAGGGATATAGCTCAGTGGCGCAAGCACCTTCCTGGCAAGCGTGAGGTCGTGAATTCAAGTCTCAGTACCAAAAAAAAAAAAAAAAAAAAAAAGAAAGATGAACAGAGCAAAGTACAGAGAAAGGTGCAAGAGGTCCCTAGGCTCTCTCTTGGGGGGGCTGCTCCCCAGAAGCTCCCAAGTGTTGAGCCCCTGGGAAGCTCTCCAAACTCTGTCCTTCTGGATTCTCATGGGTACCTCACTGTATAAGCATGGCTGAAGCACAGGCAATAGTGTAGAAACTTGTTAGGACAGAAGAAATCTGATCCAATGCTAGTACAAAGAGAGGGAAATCCAGCGAGGGCTATCTGCTTAGATCCTTCTTGTCCTCTTTGGGCAGCTTTCTTTCTCCATGGTATGAGGCAGGACCCATTCTGAGTGGGGCTCATATGATTTACTGTCAGACAGGGAATGTCGGGGAATATTTTCTGGCTAGCCCCAAGACAGAAAGGCAAATGAAGATCAGCATTTCTGTAACCCATCTTCTAGTTCAAATGGTCGATCTTGGGAGCAGCATTATGAGATGAGAACCGTGGATACAAACCACCACAGTTGAGTCTTGGGCCCATTATTCTTTGTGCGTTCCTTTACAGGTCTTCATAGACTTTTTCTGCTAATAAAGGAGTTCTTACATGTGATTGCTCAGTTATTTGTTGCTTTAAATTGTTATATATACAAGTTCTCTCTCTCTCTCTCTCTCTCTCTCTCTCTCTTTCTCTCTCTCTCTCTCTCTCTCTCTCTAGCATATGTGTTTATCATTAGCAGCTTTTGCTTAGATTTTCTAGCCCTTTTTATTATGCTTTTGACCCAAGAATGGTAAGGTGACCTGCTTTTGTAGCAGAGTTGGGGTGGGAATGTCCATTGCTTCCTGACCTACCAGAATGTGGGGTCCCACTCCACTCCACTCTCAGTAATTCTGTGACAAGAAGCTGATCTTGGTGTGTTTCTCTAGATTTAGGTCTCCTGGTCTTGCACGTGGTTATGGTCAAATTCTTTGTTTCAGAGAAAACTCACTGGTGATGTGAGTGATAGGCTGTATCTCCCACCTATGTTCGGATTTGTCAGACTCTAACACACTGCACCCCAGAGGTGAAATGAGGTCTTATGAGAACTATTCTGTATTTTCAAGCAAGTAATTTGTGTACACATGCACAGGGATTTGGTCAAAGGGAGAGATCACCAGCAGGATGTGAGCACACTTTCCAGTGGTGACATGTTCAGGACACTGCTAATACGTTATATCTGAGACCTCATTTTTTCCCACTCTCTTGGGCTAGGTTTGTTTCTAGTTAAAACTTTCCCCACTCGTCCTTCTCAGTCCTCAACTTGTTTGTCAGGTTGCCATAATGGACCCTGGAACTGTTCCTGAAATTCTGAATGGGAAACTGAAGCCAGCATAATACTGGAAATCAAGACAAAATGGATAATACTGTTCACAGGAGAAGCTGACTTAAAAGAAGATCATTCTTGGGTCAAAAGCATAATAAACAGGGATAGAAAATCTAAGCAAAAGCTGCTAAAGATAAACACATATGCCAGAGAAAGAGAGAGAGGAAAAGAGAGAGAGAAAGAATAAAGCCTTGTACAAGTAACAATTTAAGAGAACAAATAACCAAGCCAACACGCTCAAATATTCCTTTATCAGCAGAAAGAGGTAGTCAGTGAAGAAATCTTGTGAAGGGACAGGCAAAACATAATGGGCCCAAGACTCAAGTGGTCCCTCATCATGAGGCCTGTTTCTCCCTTTAGAGGTGACTATGATGCAGTGACTTTGGTCACAAAGCTGTTTTCCTAATCCCCATCATCCCTCCCTCACACCACACTGCTCCCTCTGCCCAACAGTCAGCAGGGTATAACCTGGCCTTATAAGGAGGCTTTCATATCGGGAGTGTGGTGGTGAATTAATTGCCAACTTGAGTGGGGACACTCAGCTGAATTGAGTCTTCATGGTTCTGGGCATCAAAGACCCACTTTAAGAAGGACTGCACCACGGTTTACAAGGAGAGCAGGAGGGAAGGATTTCAGCTGATCTTCCTTGGAAGAGCTTCGTCCAGGCTGCTTTTCTTCTGAGGGGCTGTTCTCCTTGGCCGAGCTCCGGTCTTCACCTTTGCCAAGGATGGCTGCTGTTATCTTTGGAGGAGCTCTGATCTTTGCCTTCTCCGTGGGCGTCCTCTCTTGGCTTTTGATGGAGCTGCTTTAGCTACCAGCACTGGCCTTTTGGCCTCCAGGCGCAGACTCTCAGCTCCAGCAGGGCTCTTTGGATTTTCCAGCGCAGACCCTTCAGTCTTCCATCATAGATTCCTTGCCCTCCTGATATGGACTCATGCAGGACATTGTTGTGGGCTTCAGACCTTCGGCCAGATTCTTCAGATCTCTACCATTCGGACAGGTCTATTGCACTCTTCTACATTTGATTTGGTGGGTGGACATTGTCAACTAATCTTAAAAATTTCTGTGTCTTGTATTAAATCTGTTCTTCTTGCAAATATTGACTACAACAGGGAAGTAAAGCTGACCATCCTCTAGAACTGCTCTGGTATACTTGCCATTTTTGTTCCACATTTTTAAAAATTGTGGCATTTGATCAGTTCAGGTTGTCCCCCAGGCCTGATGCATTCTGCTTGAGCTAAAAACAAACAACCAAAACTGCAAGGTTCCACACTGTGGGTGATGGTCACACCAAATCCACTGTGATGTAGAGCCATCCCTAACCCCTTTGGAGTATATCTTTATCTCTCTGATTTCCAGTTTTAGTTGAAACAATCTACACCACAGCTATATCACATTAGCATCTATATTATACTTTATATAAATTTCTATGTGGTTGTAATACCTATAATATATAATACCCTTATATATTATAAGGTGGCTAAAAGTGTCACCAAGCTGCTGAGAATCCTTTTGCTCAATTTGGATAAAAATCACAAACAGGCAATGCGTAGCTTTTTTTAGCATTAACACCCCTAAGCCTTGCATGCCAGGGGCTATCAGCTCTTAATATTAGCAGCCTCCTGCTACCCTACTGGCAACCAGAGCCAACAGCTATGGGGCATCAGGGAGTCTTCCAGTCACCAGAGATGGCAGCTTCCAGCAATTCTCTGTGGCTCCCTGACAATCAATGCTATTTGCTACTATCAGTGTTACCAGCTCTGGCTGCTGGGTACTTTGAGTGCCTTTCGTGTTGCCAGTTCAATCTTCTCTACTTGAGATAGAAGTCACAATTTGGTAAAATATGCTATCTGAAAGAAGCTTTATTAAGACTTCTGATGGTGCATAAAGGGAGAACAGTGCATGGACTGAACCTCTAAGGGTATGGGGAAAGTTGCTTATATGAAAGAAAAAGGCTCACCACATGCCTAGTGTCAGACTTTCTGTTTAGTGATGGGGAAGGAAGACATGACTGAGGACTGCTGCAAAGGGGTAGAGTCATCTGAATGGACTTGCAACCCAAACTTGCTGCAGCCAAAGCGAACACCTCCCACAGTAGCTGTGGGGCAGCTGATACAGTCATGGCCAGCTACAGAAAAGAAATACATCTTGGAGATGTATTGGACCTTCTCTCTTGACTCAAAAGATCACAGAATTATTTTGCTTATATTTACTTAACCTTGGCCCTTTAATTTAGCTCTCTAATGTAGTAATTATTATTCCCATTTCACAGATCTAGTGACTGATATGCAGACAGGTTAAATGATTTGCTTAACGTCACACAACTAATAAGTAGCATAGCTAAATACATGAACCAAATTAATTTGATTTCATTAGTCTTGCTTACTCAATCTCAAAGTACTGGCCTTTTCCACTGGTAGATGTTATCATATTTTAATGCAGAAACTCAAACTTCTCTTGTTAATTTAGTGAATGTTATGGCTTGTGTCTAGGTGTCCCCACGCAAAGCCTCATACACTCATAGATGGGGCTTTTCAGATGTGGCTGGGTCTAGGGTATGTGAATATGGTGTATGATAACTAAAATACTCCACTGACTTAACACAGTTCTGGGTATGGATAATGGGAAGGCCCACCTTGGGTATGGGTGGCATCAACCAATAGGACTGTAGTCTGAATGAAATATAAGGAAAAGGGAGGCTACATGCTGCTGCTTCCTGCCTCCTGCCTGCCCTGCCAAGGACTGTTGCTCCTCTGCCATGCCCCTCAGCCATACTGCCTTGGCTTGGAGCCAACCAACTGCAGAATGAAACCTGTTCAAACTCCGAGCAAAAATAAACCTTTCCTTGTTTAACTTTGGGTGTTGGGTATTTTGTCCCAGCAACGAGAAAGTCAGTAAGACAGTGAAGTAAATTGGAATGAGATTTAGGAGGTGCTCTGTAAATAGAGGAAAGAAGCAAAAAGCAGAGTAGATGGGTATCAGCTGTTTGGTTAGCACACACAAATCCAGATCCACACTCAAGATTTCCAAAAGGACTTCCACACATGAAGCAAACAGAAACAGAGCCCAACAGAAATTCCACAACTGGATTCAGATCATACATTGGGTAAATGTCATGGCCAAGACCTACACGCAGGCCCACACATGTTCCATCAGGTGCAGGTCCCAAGGCAGACCCTGAGAAATGGCCACTGTGGTGTTACAGTGACTGTGAGCAGCTGGGCAGGGGCTTGTCACCAGCAACAATGATATCAGCACTGACACTTTACCTTTTGAACAATAATGTAAAGGTATAAAGGAATTAATAAATGACTGAGATACAATGAGAAATTTTAATAGGAAAACAGATGAGCTTCTGGTGGAATCCAAAGGGATCCTTAGAAAGTAGCAGGTCTCTATACTTTCTCAAAGCAGAGACCATTTACATGAAGTAATGTTGGCTTGTAAAACAAGGAAAAAAAGACACACTGTGATTAAACCTCTGTAAGTGAACATGCCAATAATAAGATGGTCAGGAAGGAAACTTAGAATGGTATCACAAACTTAGAATGGTATTCCAAATGAGCTTAATGTTCTTTATGTATTTTTTGTTATGTTTTTAAATAATTTCAAGTTTACAATAAAGTTGGAAAAAATATGAGAAAAATTATCATAATCCTTTCACTCTACATTTTTATCACTTCCTCTTGATACTATTTCTTCTGAACAGTTGGAAACAATGGGAGACATAGCCCTTTCTACTATGACTTCAGTGTGTATTTGCCCAGAACAAGGACTCTCTTGTACAACCACATTATGATTATCAAATCAAGATATTATCATTGGTATAAGTAGCTATGCTACAAACCTTACTTGTTTCCAATTATCTGAAAAATGATCTTTAGAGAAAAAATTCAGGTTCAGAGTCCAATCAAAGATCACATATTGCATCTAGTTGTCATAACTCCTTACATCTTTTTAGTTTCCTTTCTGCTTTTTTTTTTAAGAAAAAAGTACACATTATTTTAGAGCAGTTTTAGGTACACAGAATAATTGAATGGAAAAGTACAAAGATTTCCCACAATCCTCTGACCCATCCCCAAGGTCCCCCTACCATCAACACATCTCATCGTAATGGAACATTTGGTACAACTGAGGAACAGCATTGGCATGTCACTGTCTCCCAGAGTCCAGGGCTCTGTCTTGCATATTCTTGAAGTTTGGACAGGTGTATAAAGATACAATCCATGTTATGGTGTGATACAGAGTATTTTCACTGCTCTAAGATTTCTCTGTGCTCCAGCTAGTTATGCCTCTGTCCTTAGAAACCGTGAAGGCCACTGATCTTTTCACTCTCCATTGATTTGCCTTGTCCAGAATATTATAGAGTTGGAATCATACAGTATATAGATTTTTCAAATTGGTTTTTTTTCAGTGGTAATACATATTTAATTTTTTTCTGAGTTTAATTTTTCTCATGATAATTATAATTCATTTCTTTTTAGCACTGAATAATATTCCTTTTTCTTGATGGACCGTGATTCATCCATCCATCCACCCACTGAGAGACATTTTAGTTGCTTCCAAGTTTTGGTAGTTATAATACAGCTGCTACAAACAACCCTATGAATGTTTTGTGCGGACATAAGTTTACAATTCATTTAGGCAAATGCCAGGGAGTGCAATTGCTAAGTCATATAGTAAGAATATGCTTCATTTTTTAAAAGCTGCTCAACTGCCTTGCAATGTGGCTATGCCATTTTGCATTTCCACCACCAATAAATGAGTGCTCTGCTGCTCATCAGCTCTCCAGCAGTTGGTGTTCTCAGTGCCTGAGATTTTAGCCATTCTAATAGGTGCATAGTGGTAACATGTTTCTGTTTCTTAACAGCATAAAAATCTTCATTCATGGATCACATTTTGGCCCACAGCCACCCACTAGCTACAACAATGATTTTGTCATAATGGAGTTACGCACTAGACTTATTGCTGGGGGTCTCCTTACTTAGCCATGACTAACATTAACTAGCTGAATCTTTCTTCCAAGTTGAAGCACTGTACACCTGAATACCAACAAAATTTACTATAAACTTTGTCCCAATCTTCCCTTGATTTGAAGCCAAACAGACACATATTGTTAAAATAACCTTACAAATGAAGCCTCTGTATAATTTATACTTTAATTAGTCAATAATTTACATGTACATGGCATGTCAAAATAGTGGAGTGCATTACTAATAGCTATAATTTAACGAATGCTTGCCACATGCTCAGCATTATGGCAGAATATTTCTTACAAAAACCTAGGAGGAAAGTGCTATTAAACAGTGTTTCGTGGCTCTGGGACACACGTCGCCAGTATCTGGAAGTGACTCACAGTTGGAGGTATTTCACAGTCATTATTCCATTGATGTCACTGCTATCCTCTGTGTGTGTACAGTTTAGACTAAAAATCTTCTGATGACCCTCTACCACATTTCCCTGAAAATAAGGCCTAATGAGACAATAAGCCCTAGCATGATTTTTCAGAATGCATATAATACTGTATAAGCCTTACCTCCAAAATAAGCCCCAGTTAAGGTCACCAGCCAGATGGATACATCTAATACATCCACTGCAACACATAACAGATGTACTGAATTATAAAATAATAATAATATACAAATAAATATTATTGACATTAATACCTAAAATAAATTATAATTAAGTATTTGTAAATACCCTAGTGGGCACTTTTGAACGAGAGGTAAATGCCTGTGTAAGCAGATAAACTCTAGACTTACTGCCAAATGACCAATCAGAGTGCAGACACAATGAACAAATTACGTGCACACTTGACAGCAAACAGACATGGTTGCGTCCAAGATGAATTCAAGACATCATGTGTTGTAATAGACAGATTTAATGCACTCATGTGAAATAAAGAAATGTTTTCGGAATTTTGCTGACTGCAGTTTTTCACTACTTTTGTGTGGACCATCACTCTTAACTGTCTTTGTTCTTCTGTCACTCCCATCTCAGAAGTCTTCAATTAACACTTAATTTAAGGAAAACTTTGTGAGGTCAGGCCTTGAGTGAAGAATTCATTGGGATAAAATCACTGGCAGCCGTGTTGCCAATGCACTACAAGCAGTATGCACAGATAAGAAGTGCTCATTTAAAGAGAGGAAATGTAGTTGCAAGAAACTCCGGCCAGAATTCAGGTCTGGAGAGTTATGACTTAGCTCCAGAAGATGATGACATGACTGTATTGAAATAAATGTAGGGTTTTGTACATGAATAAAAGTAGATCATTGTACATGAATAAATGTAGATTGTTGTCCATGAAAAAATAAGACATCCCCTGAAAATAAGCCCTATTACACCTTTTGGAGCAAATATTAATATAAGGCTTGGTCTTATTTTCAGGAAAATACGGTAACAAGATGAAGAAAGTTCAGCTTTGCGCTCAGAGGCTGATCCCCAGAGAATGCTCCGTCACCAGCATACTCAATGAGCGTGCCACTGTAACAGAGAGACGACACTGGCTGAGTTGAAAGCGGTTCGGAGGAGCAACTGCATGTAATCCAGTGTTAGGAAAAGCTTAACTACGGTGTGCATGAAGGTAAAAGTGACAGATGACAAAAATCTGTACCTAGAGAAACCTAAAAGAGCTCTTTCAAAAACATGAATTTTAAGTATTAACAAAGCATCCTGTTATAATTTTAATTTACAAATTCTAGCTGTTGACTCTTTCTGTCTTTTTAAAGGAATATCCATTATCTCAGACAAGACCTGGGCCTCAGGCCTTTTTCTAGAGTTTCAAAAACAAAAACTAAAGCAATATCCACATGTAAAATAAGGAAAATGCCTGCATAAATTAAGCCAGGAAAAAAATAGAACAAGATTTAAATTCAAGTTAAAGGTGGCCTCCTGTGAGATAAACAAGCAGGATCTTCGCAGCTCTTGTTACCCACTGGCGTGGTCCCTGGCCTCTCCCACAGGCAACCAGCTCACTGTGCACCAGCTCTAACCGTGGCTGCATAGCTGAGACCCTGCTTTTCTGTTTGCTTCTCTTCTATACCTTCAGGTTCAAATTAAATTGTAACTAAGCCAGCTCCGGCCAAAAGATAACATTTCTTACCCTCCCCAGGCACTGTCCCCATTTATCTCAGTTATCTCTTCGAGGCAGGCACAATTTCTCATAGCAGTTTCTTACTTTGCTAGGAGCAAAATGTACAATGAAGGACACCAAATTTAATTAGCACATTAACATAATCACATCAAGCATACACGTAAACTTGACAATAGGAAATTGGATAAATCAACGCCGGCAATTTCAGCCCCACACTTTATAATTAGGCAATAGAAAAAAAGGATAGTTTAAATGGTAGCTTATGCATTCACTCTGGTTGTTTGTAACTTATGAGGTTAGAACTGTTGACACCAGAGTGCTTAAATTTATATTTAAAGGAGGCAAAAGTTTAAACATGTTTTTCTGTGTAGAGATGCTTTTTTCTAACCTTCTGTGCAATGTAGCTGCTCTTTTGCCTTCCAAAGCGTTCATCCAAGCCATAATGCTAGTGTGAAAAGTTTTGCAAATAAAAACAAGGAGCCATTTCAATTTGAGCTCATAACCCTAAAGACATAAAAGAGACCAAAAAAAAAAAAAACCCCAAACCAACCCTGATGCACATTTTGGAAGTTTTGGCCTGTCTTTTATTTTGTATCAGAATGTTTCCAAGAGTTTGCATGAGTTTACCACTGTCAGCCAACTTAGGTGGTCTGCAATTATAGGATATTTTTTTAGTGGAAGCATTGAGGCAGAAAAAAGAATTAGGTGCCAGGAATCAACCAAGGTAAGCAGGTCAGAAGAAACAAAAACTTGACGCATCTAATGCTAGTTTGGGGACAATGTGCAAGATATAGAATATGTGGGCAACAGACACTAGAGCAATTTCAGATACAAGGGTTGGGGCTAGGGATGTAACTCAGTGGCACAAGGGCCTGCCTGGCAAGCACAAGGTCCTGAGTTCAATCCCTAGTACCATAAAAAAAAAAAATCATCACTCAGATACAAATGTTCGTGTCACACAGACCTGCACCTGCCACTCATTTGCTGCTCAACCCCAAGCAGTCTGCTTGACTTCTCTGATCTTTGGTTTTCTTGAACATAAAATGGGAATACTGATACTGGTTTCATTGCACTGTTAAGGAAATCAACTAGGATAAAGGCAGCCCAGCCAGGGCCTGGCACATGGTAAACTGCTCTGCAGATGGTGACTGGCAGCTTAGGAGTGGGGTGGTCCTCACAAGGTGACGGTGCAAGTGGACCATTGAGGATGTACCTGCAGCCTGGCTGGCAAAGGACTCTGTACAGTGGGCTCAGGAGGACCCTTGCTCCTCTCATGCCCATCACAGGAGGAGGCCTCAGCACAGGCACGCACCGGCTCAGGCTCCGATCTGTTTGCCTCCGTTAATTCCTGGCACCTGATTCTGTCTTGGCTGCTGTCTCCTTCGCCCTTTGGAATGAGTTCTTCCCCGGTCCCTGGCTGATTGAATTCAGGGAAGGTATACTTAGATGCTGTGGGACAGAGAAAGACGAGTGGAAGAAACACAATAAGGAAGTAGAAGCGCAGAGAAACAAGGTTGGAGACAGAGGGCTGCTGGTATACCTGAGGGCTTTCTGGCTACCAGGGCCACTGTTTGATGGCATTTCAAGCTCCGGAGCTCCATCGGAGTCCATCTCTACGTTTAGCCCTTCAGCCACTTTGACTTGTTCCCCTTAATAGCAACCAGTTTCCCACTATTCTATGTTCTTGGACTTGAATAACTCTCAAGCACTGTTTACAGCCAATTATTTTGCTACTGTCAATCAAAGAACATTAGCAACAGCTTGGCAGTATTTGAGAATAATTATTGGTAATGAAAAACCTTTAATATCACTGATACAGAATAGAGACCATAATATAAATGATAAGCATAATATATTCACATTTTTAATGGGGCATACACAAGCTTTCTGTTCTTGTTGTAGACCAAATGCTAGCGGAGAGTCTAAGTTTTCTGACAGTTTGGGATAAGGTCTAAAACAAGAAAGTCTGGCTTTCAACAGCGTATGTTCACTGTGCTTGATGCATCACATGGGGGGAAATGACAGTGTGGATTGGGGAACTCTAGGGGTGAGATCTTGATAGTGGGAGGAGCCATCACTTAGATGTGTTCTGCTCCTGGAGTATTCCATGCATCATGGGAAACAATCCCAATTACCTAGAGGGATGGGTTTCATTATTGTCCCTTTGCATTTGGGGAAATTGAAGACTGAGGTCTTGCAGCTGGGATTCACATACAGGCTACTTTCAAAGCCTGGCCAGTGAGCAGATAAGGGTATTATTTTGCATACACCTTTTGAGTTGCTACTTCCCTAAAAGATCTCCTAATCTATTCAGAGCTTCTTGCTATAGACCACTTTGGGTCCAGCTGGCCTTCTCCCCACCGTGGTGCCTTGCAACAGAAATTTTGACAGAAAAAATTCTCCCATGAATCTGCATAATTATGCAATTCTATTTCTCCGGTATGCCACAGTATGTTACAAGTTCATCCTGCCCGCGGCTCAGAGCTTAGGCCCTTCATGGGAAAATATGAAAGATGTCCTATTTCCTCTTTGTTTTTTTCAACAAGAGGACTTCTGCTTTCATGAGAAACAGCAGAGCCCTTCCTTTAAGAGTTGTGTAGGCAAAAGGGAGAGGCCCAGCATATCTATTAATAGTCCTGCTACAAACCATGGGAGAAACTTGGAAGCTGGAAACAGTCTACTCCTGGGCTGGGGATTTAGCTCAGTGGCACAGTGCCTGCCTGGCAAGCACAAGGTCATGCGTTTGATTCCCAGTACCGGAAAAAAAAAAAAAAAAGAAACCATCTATTCCTTAGGCTGCAATGCCCAAAGCGAGGGGACTGGAATTAGCTTTGGGAAACTGGATTCAAGCCTGGTGCTGATATGTAAAGGCTGTATGTTCTTAGAAAAGTCATTTCCCTTCCCTGAGCTTTAGTTTCCTACTCTGTAGTAGAGTGAGTTACAGCTGGAGGGGTCACTTGTAAGAAGCAAATGCCATCATTTGAATGAAAGGCCGCCCTGACGGGGACCAGAAAGCTGGCCAGCACTTCACAGTCACTCAGGACCCCCTCATTCCAGACTCCATCCCGAACTCAACCGCTGCGTGCTCCTCTCCCCTCCTCCAATCCTGTATTCTGACACAGTGATTTGTTTTTAAAATCTATTGGCTCGATTCACAGACTGGACCCAACCTTCACTGTCGCTACCCAGCCCAGTGGTCTCAAAATCAAGCGAGCATCAGGACTGCCTGAAGGGCTTGTTAACACACACGCTCTGGCCTTAGTGGCAGACTTGTTTATTAAGCAAGTGTGTGGAGCATCTGTATTTCCAACAAGCTCCCAAGTGACGGTGACATCGATGCTGCCCGCTGGGGCCCCATTTTGAGAACTATTAGTCTAGGCTGTGATCATGAATTATCTATACGGGGCATCCTGCCAGGGGACCGTGGTGGGGGAGATGGAGGGTACCTTCCTGGCCTCTCAGAACATGGAGGCATGGCTTGAGTCCCCTCTCAAGTTGAACCTTTGGAATTTCAACTCACTGGAGTCTAGGAGCTTGGCAGCCAGTGTTGCCCTGGGAAATTTTCACAATGGGCCGTGGGGAATTTATAGAGGCCAGGCACCTAGATTTGCCCATTTCTGTAGTTTTATTACACTGAGCCAATTTGCAACGGTCAATCTGAGGCCAGGCAGCTCCCAAATATCCTGCAAATATAACAACAGGCTCCATGAACAGGTCTGAGTGACCCTAGTGCACTGGTAATTGGCTCCCAGCCTGCTGAACTTCGTCTTCCCTCCAGCCCTGCTGTAGTGGGTAGCCCTCTCCTCGCTCTTTTCTTGCAGATTTCTTGTTCTGCACTACTTTAACCCCCATCCCCCTCCTCTGGCAGCTGTCCTTTTTTCCTCCACTCTCAGTGTTGGCCTTGGTTTACTGGCTTCTTTGTAAAGCCACTGGGCTGCTCGGATCACATCCTGCCAGCTTCCTGCTTGTCCTCCCCCTGCCCAGCCCCCACTTCTCATGGGAGAATCTGGCACAGGGAAAGATGAATGAAATCAGATCGGGCCCCTTCCACATTTGATTTGGGACCCTGTCTCCAGACTGAGGGAGACTGACGGCTGGAGGAAGCTGCTGTTGGAAAATGCAAGGAGTTTCCACAGGGTGAGCTCCCCAACACCATCAGGAAGCCCACACTTTCGCCTTTGTCATGACTGTGTTGCTCCACAAAGACCCGCTAACACCCAGACCGGAGAGGCTGGAGGAGAGAGAGCAGGCTTTATGCCTCTGTGCCCTGCAAAAAAGCTGCCCGACTGTGATCACACTTTTTGAGTTAGAACTTAATAAAAATGCCTTTGCTACTGGTTTCCATGGCTGTCCTGTGAATAGAGTGAATACATTTACAGGGAACACAATAGGCCATTTCAGAGCTGGGGCAGCACAGAAGATGTATTCCTTCTACTATTTGCTCCCATGATTTTGTGCCACAGAGCCACGCAAGATGATGTCCAGGTAGCATTCACCTTGCCAACCAATCTCTCCTTAAACAGCAGGCCAAGGCCCAGATCTGAGAGAGGGCAGCTCCTCGCACTGAGTC